TAAATCAAGCCGTTCAGCACAGCAACCAGCGCCTTCCCGATAATATCGATGGGGATTGGCCCATTTTTGCGGTAGATATCGTCAAATGAGCCAACATCCATAAACTCCATGCACATGCACACATCTCCTCGTCCACTCAAGAATGCACCATAAAACGACACGACATGGGGAGAGTTGCACTCGTGCAAAAACTGCAGCTCGCGGATGATTCTCTTGCGTGACTCCGGCTTGATGTCGAGCTTAATTGACTTCTTTGCCATAATGATATTCGTTGGAATGTGCAGTGCCTTCACGACAACGCCACCGTTGCCGCTGCCAAGCTCATCCAGCTCTGTCAAGTCCTCAGCACGCAGGTCTACGCAAAACTCCAGGCCAAGCTCGAGATTCTGACGCGATTGCTGTCGGTTGGCGCGTGGAGGCAAGTTTGCGATCGCTGAAGCTACCGACGTGCTGGGATCCTCCAGCGACAGGCGATTGAGAGGCAGAACATCGCCTCCATCACCACCACTGCTGTCGTCAACTCCATACGACGCCGTGCTTTCACTACTACCTGCTGCGAAAGAGCCATCGCTAGCTCCGCCAGCTGGTAGATTAAGCGACTTGAAGTTTCGCTTCTTCTTTATACCGCCCGCCGCTGTCGACATGCTGTTGCTACCACTACTACTACTGCTAATACTACTGCTGCTGGTGCTGGTGCTGTCGCTGGTGCTGGTGTTGCTTCTGCGAGAGCGTTTGTTGGGAGGATAGAGAGGAAGCTTGTTGGCTTTTTGGCTGTTGTTGTTGACAAGAGAGGTGAAGCGAAACGAGAGATGCGCTGAATGAAAAAGAGACTCGCGGGTTTTTGTATGTCGCTCTCGAAATAAAGAGAGGAACGCGTGGTAGTGGTGGTGGTAGTGGTGGTGGTGAAAGTTGAAGTTGAAGTGAAAGTGGACAGCCACAAACTTCTTCATTGCACGAGAGCTTGCGCATACACTCACTGCTACCACTACTACTGTACACGAGGAGGCTATTTTTAACAGTATAATACGTATCTCATCAATGGACCAGCTCGCGTGCCCTACATCATCTTCGTTTGCATCCCCTAATTACGAGCCAGGAGAACACACTATCCAATTTTGGACAGCAATTCTTTTGACAGTCTCCTTTCAGCGTTGGATATTGATGGATAAATGACAAAGAGAGCTTATACATTATAACTTCAATTAACAGCAGCAGCAACACCAATAGCGACAGCAGTAGGAGGAGGAGGAGGAAGATATTGCATGCAAAACAACCAAACCCATCTTTTTGTCCAACATCTTCAATGCTCATGTACTATCTTGAAATGATTACCGCAGTGTTTCCATCTATGTTTTCATTCTTGCTTAGCACCTTGCTATACGCTCTGATCGTAATTTATGTGGGATCGGTTATTTACAACTACTTCTTCCATCCACTGCGCCATATTCCTGGTCCCTTTGTCGCAAGCTGTATGCCTGGAGCCGGTCTGATTTCAGTGATCAAAGGCACAATCCCCTTTGACTTGCTTGAACTGCATAAAGAGTATGGTCCAGTGGTTCGAATTACACCTGATGGAGTGTCCTTCATTTCTCACACGGCAATGCATCAAATATACAGCACACATGCATTTACAAAGCATCCGTTGTATGAATCATACAGCTGGGGCGGGAAGCATTTATTTAGCTCAACTCAAACGTCATTTGCAAAGAAGAGAAGACGCATGCTATCGCCTGTATTTGCCCTGCAAAATATAGTCAATCTGGAACCGACGATATTTGATGTCAGTGTTGGCGCTATTTTGAAAAAGTGGTATAAAATGTGCAGCGAGAACTCAGAGGATGGGCCACCCATTGTGCTAAACATGTACCAAACTGTATTTGAAATGTTCTTTGGTACAATTGGACGTCTTGTTCTGGGCAAGGCATTCACGGAAGCGGTTACCAATCACTCGTCCAGTGCTGAAGTTAGAGACAGAATTGCCAGTGCATTTAGCTCAATTGACAAAATTCTGTCAGTTTCACATTTGATTCCATCATTTGTTCAGAAACTCATAATCAAGGGCTATCTACCCGGAATTGGCACTGGAATCTACAATGTTCGCCGCGTGGCAAGCGATTTTATTACACAGAGACTGGACGATATCGCATCTAACCAGAATGACATCTCAAAAGAGCAGGATATTCTACAGCTGATGATTGATATGGTTGATCCAGAAACCGGAGATAGAATGACAAAGGATGAGCTGACCGCTGAAGCAAACCTGCAGTTGGTAGCCGGTACAAACACAAGCGCAAATACATTGGTTTGGACATTTGATTTCTTGATGGCAAATCCACATGTATTGCAAAAGGTTGAGGAAGAAGTTCTGAAAGCGTATCCAGACCCTAATGTGAGAATTATTTACAGAGATGCAAAGCAGCAGCTGCCATATACCGAGGCTGTGATTTGGGAGGCGATGAGAATGCGACCAACAGCTGGAAGCTACTTGCCGAGAATTACACCCGCAGATGGCAGAGCTCTGGATGGCTATTTTATGCCAGGTGGAACCATGGTCGGCACCTCGTCCTATGTCATGCAGCATCTTGAAGAGTACTGGGACGATCCATTTGAATTCAAACCCGAGAGATTCCTGGCAGTATCGTCGGGTAAGGATGGTTTGGACGACATGGCAGCCGCTGATGAAGCAGCTGAACGGCGCCAAAAAGTATTCCCATTCAGCATGGGAGTGAGAGGATGCATCGGACGGCATCTTGCTCTGGTGGAGCTCCTTGTGATTTTGGCCACGCTGATTCAACATTTTGAAATTCGGCCAGCAAAAGAGCCGCATGAACCGCTCAAGCCAGTTCTCAAACTGATCCTGATTCCCACTGTGAAGAAGCTCGAAGTGAAGATCAAAGCACGCTACCCAAAGCCGGATGCTATTTAGTAGTTTATTTTAAACAAACACAAACAAACATAACACCTAATAATATTTTTAATTATACTTTACGAGTAACAATGTCGGTTGCAACGTCAGGGTCCACAAGATGCTGTACAAGGTCATTGTAGAGATCATCGGGCAGTGTCTTGACATGTTTCAGCGCGAACTCAATTCCATAGCGAGCATTCCCGCCCAGTAACAACGAATTGGCCTTGTCCAGCACAATGTTCGGTCGCTGAGTTGACAGCAATTCGTCTCGCATCTGTACCAAGCTAGCCACAATGACTAAAATGTTCAAATGTGCACCAAATGCCAAGTAAAAGTCCCAGAGCTCCAAAACTACATCGACCAGCGGCGGGCAGCTGGCTGAAAGAGTCATCACGCGTGCAAATCCATACACCTCGGGAATCATGTTGCAGCGTGCAAAATGAGCATGAAGTTGGGGGTCCAAGAACGCAAGGCAGCGATCAAGCAGCTTGAGCCCGGCATAGACTCCAGTCAATGTCGGCGCAACATACATCGGGCATACATTGATAAGAAATGCACTAAAGGCATATGCAGCCGTGAGTTCGGGCATGACGAAGGCAAACGGCGCCAACAGTACATTCATGCCTTGGACATAACGGGTAGCTTGGGCAGAGTTGTTGTCCAGGCCACCCCACGCAACAACATTCAGAATGCGAGACAGAGTTTGTTCAGACACTTTGCCTGTAAACGATTCATCCGTCGCCAAAGTGCGAAGAGTGTCGCCGCGAATCTTCTCATGCGATGCAGATGGACCGCGCTTAACAATTGCCATATAGTCGTGTGCGCTTGCTGAGGCTACACCAAGTAATGCCAACCAGGATTGTGTGCGAATGCGATTGACCTCAGTGTCCGACTCTGCCTCTGAGTGACTCTTGTTAGCGCTGTTGCCGATGCTAGTGCTGGCACTGCTGATTGAATGTGGGATGCCTCGTGCTAGAATCAGTGCGCGCAGCTCGTTGAGTGCTGCATCACGCGCTTCTTCAGTGTCCAGCATTCTGCTCAGCAGCCCACGGAACAAAAGCGCTGGAGGAATTCCATCTCCAGGCTGCCCTGCGCGCCGGATCAAAGCTTGCCAGTCAGCAATTGCAGCCTTGCTACGAGTGGCCACAGGCAAAGGCGGTACTTCGCCATCGCTAATAACCCCGGAAGAAGTGCGTGCTCGTGCCGACAAATGATGGCTGCTGGCCGGACGACGAAGAACTGACCGAATTGGTTGTTGTGGAAGTTGCTGCTGCTGCTGTTGCTGGTAGTTTATCGACGGTGGGCGACGCAGTGTTGGTGTTGCCGTGTTGGTACGGGAGGTTTGTGCTCTTGGAATTGGTGGTGGAGGCAACACGGACGGACTCGACGCTCTCTCGCCCGCTGACGCTGCGGCTGCAGCTAATAGAGCAGCTGGTGGCTTTTGAACGCCACTAGCAAAGCGATTAGTTGGCACAGGTAAGCGTGAAGGCTGGGATCGAGGTAACATTGGGGAAGAGTCGACATGACGGAGCGATCTGCCACGATGGCGAGGCTGCGCTTCAATCGAGTTGCTCATGTTTATTGACTGTAAGAGAAAAAAGGTGCTTTTGTTTGTTTACTCAGGTTGTTGAGTGTGAGAAAGAAAGGAGGCGAAGAGTATCTTCGGTATCCAACATGAAACACATGATGCAACGATCCATCCGATTACTACTTCTGATCATTCATATCAGAGCAAGTCCCCGGCTGTCCCATCTCTATCGACTGAATGCCACACAGCTTCCAGCTCTGAACAGCACCCAGTCTCCACTTTCATCATAATAGTTGCGAAGCTATTTCACCATTCATGAATCAAGTACTTCCATCCCTAGTTTAAAGTGCTGCCACAGTCGCTTGTGTCGAAGAACAAGTAATATGATTGATCTAATACACTGGATGCTCTGTAATTTGAACCTGCCAAGCACTGCTACAGTATAACATTTCCTTCCACAGTCCCTCGCTCAATCACACAAAGGCGCATTTCAACATCCAACAAACAGAAAACAGCCATGACAAACCATGGATGCCAAAAGAGGATCCAAAGCTACGAAAAGAATGCGTCGGCCGGGAATCGAACCCGGGGCACGTGCGTGGCAGGCGCGTATTTTACCACTAAACCACCGACGCTTGTTGATTCCACTTTCCAGAGTGGAATTGTCATTATCATCACAGAGTTGCCATTCAAATGCCATTCAAATCTTCCAAACTGTTCCAATTATGCGCATGTAACGAGTTGGCAGATCACTGCAGTGGTTTAGTCTACACGATAAAGAGATAGTTAACACTTTCAATCCCTTCCTTTGAGCGCTCTATCGCAGGTTGTGACCAGACTTAGCTGAATCGTCGTCTGGCGTGGGCCGCAGGAATGCGCCAATCTCATCGGCCTCCGTGTACGTGAATCCGTGGTTCTCAACCAGCAGCTTCTCCTCATTAACGTCTTCTAACATCTCCTAACCACTGCCCTCACACATTCACTTTTGCTTTCATTACTTTAAGATGTCATTTTTTGCTACTGACTCTCTTTCTCACTCTCAAAAAAAACGGTAGGAAAGGAAAGAACGGGGGATTTAATTGACGTTACTGGTACTTAGAGGGGGAAGGAGAGGTGCTTAGTAGTAGTTGTAGGCGGCAGCTGGTGGCTGGACTGGGGTGTAGGAGGCCGGTGGCACGACGGCGGTGCTGGACACTGGGGCCGGGGTGTAGGAGGCTGGTGGCACGACTGGAGTGGTGGTGCATGGGGTGGTGCTCGAGACTGGAGCTGGGGTGGTGGTGCACGGGGTGGTGGCGTTGGAGGCTGGGATCGGGGTGTACGAGGCTGGTGGCACGACCGGGGTGGTGGTGCACGGGGTGCTCGAGGCTGGTGGCACGGTGTAGCTCGAGGTCACTGGAGCTGGAGTCGTGGTGCATGGGGTGGTGGCGTTGGTGGTTGGGAGCGGGGTGTAGGTCTGGGTGGTGTACTGGCTGGCTGGTGGGGTGGCGGACGAGCACGGGGTGGTGGCGCTGGTGGTTGGGAGCGGGGTGTAGGTCGGGGCGATGGTGCTGTTCGGGTAGGTCACGCCGCAGGCGGTCTGGGTGTAGATGACGGTGGCGGTTGGCGCGCACACCTGGGCGGTCGACGTGACGACGGACGTGACGTAGACCTGGGACGGGGTGGCCGTCTGCGTGATGGTCTGCGTGTTGGTGACTGGAGCTGGGGTGACGGTCTGCGTGGCAGTGACGGTCTGCGTCTGGACGGCGGTCTGCGTGGCAGTGACGGTCTGGACGACGGTCTGTGGCACGGTGACGGTGACCGGTGCTGGGCTCTCGCAGCTGGCGCCGGCCGGGGTGGTGGTGTAGCTCGTCACTGGCACTGGGGTGGTTGGATAGGCTGGCGCAGTGGTTGGAACCGGGGTGGTTGGGTAGGCTGGCGCTGGTGGAGCGGTGTCGTAGGCGCCTGGGGCGGCGGCGGCAACGGCGGCCAGAGCAGCAACGGCAACGAAGGAACGCATGTGTGTATTCGGGATGTGGAGGTGGAGGTGGAGAAGACGGTGTTGGTTAGAGCAAGCGAGCAACGTCAAGCTGTCGTATTTGCGGATGGAGAGAAAAAGGCGATGTGGATAGAAGGCAAAGAGAGAAAGAAGAGGTGGAGTGAGTGAAGAAGCAAAGAAGAAAGAAAAAGGAACAGCTAGCAGCTCCAAAGCGGCAACAGCCCGGCTATCTTTATACCGTGCGGCGCCAGCAGAAACAACAGCAGCAGGACTTTCGGCGCTTCAGGGACAGGGCTTCAGCCGACTTGACCTTTCGTCTCACGAGAGAAGTCGCTTGGACGAGACGGCTTCTCCGCCCAATCACGGCGGCGATCGATACAGGAGCACTTATGACGTACTGCTATTTTTAGGGTCAGACTGTGGCATGTGCGCCAATGGCGGTCGCCCCAACGCAGGTCGCGGGAGCCGAAAGCAAATAAACAACAAAGAGGCGCTTCAAAGACAATAGCGATAGTATAGAGAGAGAGAGTGTGTGTGTGTTTTACTGTTTAAGCGAGCGGCCCGCCTTCACAATCGAGTCGACCAGCAGCAAATTGCGCGCCAGCTCGGCCGCGCTCGTCAACTGGTGCTTCACCAC